GGATGGGGGGCATGATCCAGCAGGGAGTGGATGGGGGTCATGATCCCACAGGGAGTGGATGGGGGTCATGATCCAGCAGGGAGTGGATGGGGGGCATGATCCAGCAATGAGTGGATGGGGGGCATGATCCAGCAGGGAGTGGATGGGGGGCATGATCCAGCTGCTTGCCACTTACTGCTGTGTGCATACCTGTCAGTTCTCAGCCTCCATGTGCACAAGGACCTGCAGTATCACTGGGTCATTCCACTGTAACTGGTATTTTTTTTTCACAGAGTCATCACCTCTTCAACATGAGACTCTCAGCTACTAAGCAGTGGCCCTGGCGGCTCAAGTGAGAGGCTAAGCAAGTTTCTCCCCTTGACATCATCTTCTGCCACTGCAGTGAGTAGGTGTGACCTTCAAAGGACCGAGATGTTTGCCATCTTGTCCTAAGTTTGCCTGGATGGGACTTAGCCACACATGCTTTGGAAAAAAGGTGCGGGAGCCAGGGCAGGAGTTGGAGTGATTTAGCCGAGCCCTGTCTAGGGTGATGTGTCCTCGCTCTCAAGCCTCCACATCCTGTGGCTTTCTTCCCTTTTCCTCTTATTTTCATCAGGGAAGAAAACAAAAGCAAAGAACTTGGCCATGTTTATACCGCATACAGATCACATTTTTAAGAAGTAATACTAGGTCATGAGATTGGCAGACAAGGGAGAGCAAGGAAATGCCGATGAGGCCGAGAAAGCACAGTGTGGGTGTGTCCCTGAGGCGGGCGGGCTCCTGAAGGGTGTTTTCTACATTTTGCTCTTTCTATCTATCTTAAGGTTGTGTGTGTGTGTGTGTGTGTGTGTGTGTGTGTGTGTGAGAGAGAGAGAGAGAGAGAGAGAGAGAGAGAGAGAGAGAGAGAGAGAGGATCGAACTTAAGACATTATTTTTAAATGATAATTTTTAAAATGCAGAATCTAATTTTCTGGAAATCGTATTGGTTAGACTTTAAAGGAAGGATTTATGTCCACATGAATTGTGCAGAAAGGAATTTTAATAACAGAGAGGCAATGTGAGACAGTGTAGGTCGAGATCATAATTCAGAGCCGAAAGGGCTTTCCAGGGGGATTAGCATGCGCTGTAAGCCCTCCCTGTCGCAAGCAAGCAAGCGTGTCTATGTACTGGATTTCTCTGGCAAATACACTTACAGCATTTAGTCACACCGTTAATAAGGAACCAGCTGCTTACCCTTCTGCTGGGAGCAGTAGAGGTCTGAAGTGCGGAAGCACACCTTGCGGCAGGCCGGCTGTGCAGAGCTGGGCTCCTGGGCTTCCTCCTTAGAGCTAGCCGAGCTCTGTGCTGGATCGCTCACTCTCTGGGTGTGGGCAGGGGCTGTCCCAGGCAGCACCCCTAAGCTCTACTCCAGGAAAACACCACCGACTCTTTCTTAGGGGTTACGAGTAAAACTGTTTCCGGGCATTGCCCAGTGTACCCTGGGGACCACCCTCCTTCCTCCTGTGTTGAGAGACACTGATAGAGAGGAACAGGAACTGGCCACCGCATGCTCAGGTTTACTTGTTGGCTGCTGACCAAATCAAGGGCAGCCATTTGTTTTGGTAAAAAGGGAAACAATTTATTCAAAACAAGCTCTAAGGCGATGGAGGGGCTCGTTTATCTCAGTCCACCGTCAAGCTGGGTACAGGTGCATCTGTTACAGAGGGCAAGGACCAGTGGGGTGATACTAGGAGACAACGGGTACTCAAGCTTGTCTACCCCTTCTGGACCCAGGCCTTTCCTCCCTTCCTGTGGAAATGAGACTGGTCACCTGGATTTGCATATTCTATCCGCTCATCTAGACGCAGACAAGGTGGGAAGGGGCTACAATTCTTGCCTTAGGCTTGAGGAAGTTTAGAGAAGCCACTTGTCTCTAACGGAAAGAAATTCTAACTTTTAAAGTTCCATTTTGCTGTTACAGAATGAGATGGTTTTTTTTTCTCTAATGCTTCCTAACATGAAGTTAGCTCTTCAGGGAGTTGCAGAGAGGCATAAGGTCATGCTCAATGATGCTAATAACTGGATGGCGAATAGGAATGAGAATCACAAACCACGTGCCCATCCTGAGCTAATGACTCTAGCGTGGACAGCAGGGGGGAGGTCACCGCGGCAACAGTCAGTCCCACTCCCATCCCATGCACCTGGATTTCCCATGAACAGCTCTAATTAAGTGCTGAGTGGGCCAGATCCTGCTGAGGCCGAGAAAATATGAATTCTGGCTTCAAAACATTAAAACAACTCTTTGGCAACAGGCAGTGGCTAGAACAGAAATGAATAATGACACTGCCTCTCCAGCAGACCCCTCCTTATTTGGGTAGCAAGGAAAATGCAGTGTGTTGAGGCAGAGACACAGGGTAGATTGGAGTAGGGATGTGGCCTGTATGCAATGTGCTTCCCAAATAGGACATTCCCCCCAAGCATAGGGTAGAACATTCCAACAAATCAGCAAAGACTCCCTGTTGGCTCTATACATAACGGATGCTTCTTATGTATTTGCAAGAAAAAAAATTGTTTCTTGGTCAGTAACATCTGAATGCTGTTGGATGAGGTCAACTTGGTGTTGCCATGGAGACGTGCTTTCTAGCAGTGCTTGCATCACGAAATTGCACAATTATTTCTCATCTGCAGCTAAACGCCTAGACACAGAGGAAAGAGTCATGTCTACAGCTTGACACACCCATGAAGGGGACACTTCCCCGAGGCCTTTCCATGAACAGGTCTCAATAGTCTGTTTGGGCCTAAGAAGACGGATGCAGGGAGAGTGCCGGCTCATGAGGATGCAGCAAAGGTGACAGACAGCGGAGCTGTCAAACAGGCCTGCAAGTCCCCTCCCACTGCTGCTCCCAGCCAAGGCAGCATCTGCTCTGAACAGTTCCTTTGAAGTAGAAGCTGGGCTCCATGCATGGCCCTGCCTTCTGGGACCACAAAAGAGGAGGCATTTCTGTGGCTGCAAATAGACTAGAAAATACTTTCGAGGGTAATATTTGGCTGCATCCATGGAGTCTGAATTCTAGTGGAGTAGTTTTATAAAGCAGTCGGGCGACGATACAAAAGCCATAAATATCACGCAGACTATGACAGGACCCAGGGTAGTGTTTCTCACATACAGCAGTGTCTAGGGGGACCCTGGAGCCTTCACGGGGTCAGGTGAAACTCGGGCTGCCACTTAGGTTGGTTTTCCCTCTGAGAATACTCTTGTGTCCAAGCGAGGGTGGAATCAGCCTTTGACAAGTGATATTCAGGCTGATAGGTCTGTTTCCAATAAGCTGTTTTATAGTCTGTCGGTGGGTTGACTGCATAGTTATAAAAGTTGATCTCATAAAAGGGAAACATGAGTGGTTGACACATCACATTGTATCTGTGTCATTCTGTGCTCTGGCAGCTGGACTGGCCCTTATTTATAGCAAAGGAGGTGACATAAAAGCAAAATAATCGGATTTTAATTATAATGGGGATTTTTTTCACCCCATGGGGCTCTGAAGGGCTGAGACTATTGTGTGACTTCTGGTTTCCAGGGAAACATATTTTCCTATACCACTGCGGAGACTCACTTGGTAAATGCCCCAGAGGAAACGGTGCAGAGGAGAATGGCTCTGGGTTTCTTTAAAGTGGAATGAGAGCTGATAAAATATTTGAAAGAAATGGTCACAAAAAATAAATAGACTTCAAACTAACACTTTTAAGGACTCAAAACTTCACTAAAGCATCAGATTTGTTTGAAAATATGACAGCTTCTGTTTTCACATGATGGTCTGTCTAAGTGCTAGAGAGATGGAGAAAAAAAACCAACTCCTTTAAACAGTAAGCTCTCAGGCTCGGAATGCGGCTCAGTGACAGAGCACTTGCCTGACACGTGCAGGGCCCTGGCCTCCCTTTCCAGCTTTCACTACAAATAAAATAATAATAAATCTTAAAAAAGAATAATGCTTCTCTCATGAACACCCACCCCATTTGAGGTTCTATTCCACTTTGCTATGTGGTCAAAATATCCCTGAATCCCGGGAGAGCTTTTCTCTTCTCAAGATTTTACTCTAACCAGTGTTCAAGCCAAGGATGCAAGGGAGAGAGAAAACCAGCCACCATCTTTAGGGTACAGAGCCATCTCCATCACCGAGTGCAGGGACAGAACCATTGCAAACCCGATCTCCATCTCCTCTCTCTAACAGCTCCCACATGGCCAGTATGAACATGGCTTTAGAAGGCTTCCCTGCAACTGAAATCAGTTTGCCCTTTACTATGGGCTCTGCAGCCCATGCCTCAGTCTCCCTGGCCCAACACTGTCCCAACTCTTCTTCTTAGGACTGGCCAAGGTAGGTGCCAATCTGTAGATTGGTTGCTGTGTAACCTTTGATGCCATTCTATCTTGTTAGTGATGGGGGTACTGCAGAAACAACAGTGATGTCTTTCCAAGGGTGCCAAGGACCACGGAAAGGCCTCCAGGTAGGCGCTGCCAAGGACAAGACATGGGTCCTGAGGCCATGTCCCCATGGCCCATTCTCTTCAGCTAGCCCCACGTCCTAAATTTTTATCATCTTTCAGTAAAGCTATCAAATGAGGATCGCATCCGTGGCTGACTTTGCGGATGAAGTCAGAGCCCCACGATTCCATCACCTTCCTAAAGCCTCATCTCTGAACACCTGAGACTTCTGGGCGGATATTCTAGATCTAAACAATAAGAGAGGGGCAAGGATATAGCTCAGCGGCTTAAGCACCTGCCTGGCAAGCTCAAGGTCTTGAGTTTGATCTCTGGCACCACAAAAATAAAAAATAAAAAATAAAAATTAATAATAGAACCTTTCCAGGATCCTTATGATATCACCTCATCCCACTCATAACTCAGCACCAATGCACTTCTCCAAACTCAGGCTATTACAAATGAAGCTAAGGTGAGTCCTGGTGACCCCTTGGCCCTCCTACCTCCATGGGCTTTTCTTCCTGCATTGGGAATCTCATTACTCTACCTTCAGCCATCTTGCAAGGTGCATCCTCTCTCTCAAGTTTCCTCCAATCCTGACTGACACAAAAATGAAAGCTAAATTCTACGTCTGCATTCTTCTGGTGCCTCCAAAACATCTTTGCCAGGTAAAGCTGCCTCTCTTCCCGTCAGAAGACCAAATCAATTTCTCTACCCTAGCAAACGTGACGCAGCTCCCTCCCATCTTCATAGAAATCTGCTATGTGGACAAGAACAGATTATATTCTATTCTAGAGAATAACAGGTCAGTTATATCTGCCCCACCATCTAAAATACAAGAAGGAGACCATCCCAGATCATCCAATTCTACGGAGCTGACCCCAAGAGGAATAAGAAGTGGGCACTTTCTAAGCCACAAAGTTCTGAAGTGTT